TATATATATATGTATATATGTATATATATGTATGTATGTATCCAGCAGAAAAATGAGGAGCAACAGGCACTTGAAAAATGGCTCTAAATTTAGCAGGTATTTATTCTACAATATAATCATTTATATAAATACAGTAGGTACTTTAATATAAAAGTGACGTTTGAAAGCTGTAAAGTTTGCTACTAAATAAACAAAGTTGGATATATATGTTTCGGGTTTGTATGTATTGTCCCCTATCTGAGAATAGCAAAGAAAATCTAGACGCCATCCATTTCTCTCCTCCTGCTTTTTTTTTTCTTTTTCTTTTTGAATATGCCGGTAAATGTCTCCGCCTGAGGCAGGGGGCTGACTGTTGTTTCGAAACCTTTTTCTAAATATAGCCAGTCTTATTCGGGATGTCGGCGCGTGGGACCGACTGACCAGTCGGCCACTCTCGGTTGTCTGCGAGCCTGACGTCACCGGGAAGGGATTCTTTGTGCGGAGTCCATGAGGAGCTCAACGTGACAGGCTGATTAGTGGCGACTTTGAAAAGAGAGAGAGCAATAACAACACGCGGCTCTAACAACCTGCAGCCACCGTGGCATCCTGCAGCAGGTGCACGTGCCAGCCAACGATACATGAAATGATGCGGTGACTGACCACGACACTGCTCGCGTGACACATTGGCCGACTCAGAATGAGCATTTCAATAACAATATGCGCTAAAATCTTATCTTAGCACTTTAATCAAGTGTATTTCTAATAATTACAAAAGGTAAATATTTACATATATATTTCAACAAATTTCAACACAAAATAAGAAGCATTTTATCTGTGCCCTTTTGCACACGTTTTCTCTCGTGGACCATTTTCATTTAAACCTTTAAATCTTTATTTTATAACGTATGTTAGGTGTGTAGAGTACTATAAACGGCGCCACATTCTCTGTTTAGGGGATAATGTTGGGCCTAAGGTCGGCGAGGAAACTGTTGCTCCATTCTAGGTTGTAAACATTGAGGGAGAACAAACTCTGCCCCGAGGAGGCAGCCAGACGAGCATGGTGCTGCACGGATTCCATCTCCGAGTAACCTACTACTGGAAGAGGTGGGATTATGGCAACCCATTTTAACATTTAATAGCCTCTGAAAATCTTGAGTTTAGAATAGTTTTCGTCATTATATATATTTTTACTTTTAAAGTATGTGGTTAAAAACCTAGAGATTTGACCAGTCGTGTGTTTTGTTTATTTACCTTATTAGATTTTAAAACAGACACTTTTTTTTTTCACCCACCTTTTTTTTTTTTTTTTTGGAATTGTGAATCCACCTCATTTTGAGAAATCCTCGCCTATTTTGCATACCCAAATGGAAAAGCATATAACTTAGGAACTGTAAGCCCAAATTACATGTGCAATACATTATTTGAAAGCTAACACCCTCTAGGTTCTGAATATATAAATGTAAATTGGGTGAGTAAAACACAGACCAAGCTGCATCAGTTTAAACATGACTCAAAGTTTGTTTTTATTTTTATTCTCTGAAATGATCTTTTTTGAAAAGCAGTGATAAAGACATTCTTAAGAAAAGGCAGGTCTCATTGTATTATATTTTTTCTACATCATGTCAAACACAAATGCAGAAAATTTCATAGCTCTAGCTACGACAGTTCCAGAGCTGTTGGGCTTTTTTTAACTTGTGGTGTCAACTTGCAGCTGCACTCAATGGCTCCAGACACAGTTTTCTGTGTTTCTGTCTAACACAAGCCTGTAATGCGGTACCCCTTTAAATAAACTAGATACATTTTGGCTCATTCGAAACTTTATTTCATTGGCTACAAAGCCCAAAAGCCCACATGGTCTTAACCAATAACAGCAGAGAATTATGACACGTAATATCGCTGGCTGACAGGAAGTGACCTGAAGTTATATTTCGGGGACTATATCTCACTCAAATTGCATCATAAAAATATGCAGATACTTGTGTCTTGTAGATAACACAACGATTTAAAGAACCATACCAAACATCTCAAGTATTAGAAGTAAATATTAGCAAGATTCTGACCATAAGCTATGACCAGCTAACCTTTCTGATGTCAACAACCGGACGTTATGGGCGATTTTCTCATCGAATATTTTTATTACTAATATGCTAGATTACTTTTAATCTCTGGACCCTGGTGGACGAATGGAGTACAAACAATTGAAGATTGGATTTATAAAACGGCTTCTGGATGCCTTCAAAGGTATGTTGTTGTAGCTGCTTCGTCATGTTTACATTTTGACATTCTGCTATATCTTTAATTGTGCTTTGGTGCTTGCTTTGTCTTTAAAATGAACTTTGTTTGTTGAATTGTGGAGAAGCTTTCCAATGATGTCTAATGTGTCTATATTGGTAAAACTTTTCATGCATTCTGAGTTATTCTTAAAACTCAAACCTTGCAAAAGCGGTGGGTTCTGTGAGGTTTTAAATCAGTCTGAAAATAAGGAGGCTGGCACAGTTTTGGCTGTGGATTTAAACAGGTCTAGCCTTCCGCGGCTTTCACCACCATACCGTGACAGTTGACACAGAAAGCAGGAAAAGAATGAATACCGAAATTTTAAACTGTTTCTTTTTATTTTTTTTCCTAATAGGATATAAAAAGGGTAGGAAGATATAAGTAAATCTAAACAATGTGGGCGGGGTTTTGAGGGCATGACAACAAAGCTGCGCGACGCTGGAGATAGCACAACAGTAGCATGCACTGCAAAATCAGTTTTCAATGGAGCCCTCCATTGAAAATTAAAAGTTCAACCTGTTGTTCAATAAAAGTATGTTTTAAGATCATTTGAGGTGGGAATATTATACTTTAAAGCATCCCTATACAGTCCATTTAAGGATTTAATGCATAATTTAAAAAAAAAAAATTTTCGAAGTTGAGAGGATGCGGGAACCAGTGGACCTCAAAGGCTAACGGCAGCCAGGGCTAACCGCAGCCCGTCTGCAGCGGCTCTTTCTCGGCATAGCCGTATTTGAAGGACCGCTGGGTCTGATGGGGATTTTTGACTCCGTTTTGGAAGGATTAGACTTGGGGTTTTCGTTGAAACGTGAGCAGGAAGAGGCTCTTCGCTCATTCATTTTAATGAAGAGCGTATTCACCATTTTTCCAACAGGCTGTTTGTTTACACTCCCCCACCAGCTTCCTGTCACGCTCAATACGTCACAGTCAGTTGCGCTCATTGGTCAGAGCCTTAGCCAATAGGCACAGACATGGTTTGAAATATAACTGGTTGTTGTCATCAAAAATCGTCCGATGTCTTCTTCATCGGGGCCAGACTAAATTACACATTTAATCTCACATTTAGTCTGGTTTATCAGGCTATATATGCTTCTTTTTTTTTACCTGTTTGTGAAAACAACAAATACAAGCTTTCTCCAAAAATAAATGAATAAATCTCATCTCTTTGTCACAGGACCTTGTAAGTGCTGTCTGCTAATTATTTATAAACATTGCTTGCCATACTTTGTATCGCCAGTGAGGGAGGGAGCGGCTGGTTGAAAGCACCGTCCAACACGTGAGGCTCTGGTGGGAGGGGGGGAGGAGGGGTGTGGGGAGGGTGAGGAGTTTGAAAGCGCCGACCAACACGTGAGGCTCATGTGACGGTGGAGAGTGGGTTTCTTTAGCAGAGAGAGAGAGACGTGCCTGCAGTCACAGGGTTTATTTAACACGTAGCCACCGACTCACCCAGCTCTCACACATCGCGCGGGGCGTGGAGCTTTCCACGGCAAACTGACGAGCCCGACCTCTGTGTGACAGCACTCTGAACTGCGACCAGTTTCAATCTATCCCACTACTTGTTTTTGTTGCAGCTGTTATTCTTGAATTTTTTCACTCTCTCTTCTTTTTCTACTGGAAGGACTGAGCGCTTTTTATTTTTATTTGTCCCCGTCAATAAAGAAACATGGAGCGGATTACAAGTGCGCAACCACCTCCTTATGTTCCGAAACACGCATCTATGGATACACCTGACATGCACAGGTAAATATCAACGCTTAATTTTCTTATATTCTCTGTAAAATCTTTAATTACGATTTAAAACTGAAATGCAATTTTTTTTTTTTTGTTGCGTTTTTCACAGAATGGAATATTACATGTGCAAAAGCAGGAGGGGTGTGAAAAGTAGGGACGAATGCAAGGTATGTTCAATTAAAATATGAATAAAAATATATTTCAGCTTGATTATTATTTTTTTTTTCCTGGATCTTACATGTTATTGACAACTTTATAATTTGATCCAGGAGACTTACAAGCTGCCCCACAGGCTGATCGAGAAGAAAAGACGCGACAGAATAAATGAATGCATTGCCCAACTCAAGGACCTGCTGCCAGAACATCTTAAACTCACAGTAAGTAAAAACATTTTTTATCTTTTCTTAAAAAGTCTAAAATAATTGGATCCAGTTCATTGTTTCAGAGATTGCCATATATATATATATATATTTGTTTTTTTAAAACCTACTGAAACATTTGAGTAATAAAAATACAAATATATATGTTTTTAATTTTAATAGTTTAATTTCTTGGTATTTTCTAAACTTTGAGTTTTGTTTTAAATTGAGAGATCATCAATGCGGGCATAGTATGCGTAGTTTTCCTCAGTGTTGGCCGCTGGCCCTCTATTCAGCTGCAGAATGTGTTGCATAAGAAAGATCAACATGCTTATCGAAGGTCTTCCTGTTTTAGACGCTGGGTCATCTGGAGAAAGCTGTGGTGCTGGAACTCACACTGAAGCATGTGAAAACCCTGAGCGCCATCCTGGAGCAGCAGCAGCAGAAAATATTGGCGCTCCAGAAGGACCTGCAGATCAGTAAGTTTGATTCTAGCTGGGATCATTTAACCCGTGGTTGGGCATAAAAAATCATCTGCTTTGTTTTTCAAGAAATGGAGTTTGATTTAGATTGTTTATCTCCAGGCGATCAGGTGGGAGATGGCGCTGAGAGCAACGAGGACATGTTCCGCTCTGGCTTCGACCTGTGTGCCAGAGAAGTCCTCCACTACCTGGCCAACCAGGAGACCAGCAGGGACCTAACCCCCTCCCACATCATTAGCCACATCGAAAAGGTTGCAGCTGAAGTCCTACAGCATGGAAGCAGCCCGCGACCCGGTGAGAAGGATGGGGCGAGGAAGCCTGTCGGGCAGCTTTCAGCATCACCCGATGCCCCTGCTAAGAACTGTGTCCCGGTCATTCAGAGGACTTTCCACCACGGGACTGGGGAGCAGAGCGGTAGTGATACAGACACTGATAGCGGCTACGGAGGTGAACACGACAAACCTAAATCCCGGTGGTTGGAAAGCCACGGAAGGGAGGGCGAGTTAAAGACTGCTGCGTCTGAGCGGACGGTTGGCGTCATCAAGCAGGAAGGCGATGAGCCCCAGGCCAAGAGATTGAGAGTGGACTCAGAGGACGAGATTTTCTCTTTTCAAGCTGCCGGAGCTCCTGGCGGTTACATGAACATGTCCGCCAGTCAGCCCCCGTTTTGCCTCCCCTTCTACTTCATCCCTCCATCGACGGCGGCAGCAGCGGCGGCGTACCTCCCTATGCTGGAAAAATGCTGGTATCCCGGCGGCATGCCCATCATGTACCCGGGCTTGGCAGGGTCTGCTGCAGGCCTTGTCCCGGAAACGTTGCCCTCATCTCTGTTGATGTCGCCGAGGGCGGGGTCTCCGATAGCCCACCGCATCCCGATGGACTCTCCTGCTCTGCACAAAGCTTTGAAGCAGGTCTCTCCTTTGAACTCTGAAACCAAAGACTGAGCAGACAATTCTCCTATCAGCACCTCGCCCCCACTATATGTTGAACAGAGGGTACAGTGTTAACCCTCCAAACAGCAGCTGTAATTGAACCCATCCGAGCAGAACCCTTTATGGTCGTCACTGTCAGGTATCATTCCTCGGACTGTTTTTGAGGCTGGTATAAGAGATTTAGTAAAGCCCATTAAACACTGTGAAGATTGTTAGGTTAGACGGAGCACAAGAGATTTTTGAAGGTTCTTATTTTATTATCTGTCTCCAGAAATGTTGTTGAATGTCAGAGGAAATCCCGGAATGTAACTCCGCCTTCCCCCTTTTTTCCCCCAAAAGATTTTGGACCTTTAATGTTGCACAGAACTCTGCAATGAATGTAAAGATGCAAAAGGAGGAAGAAAAAAAAAAAAAAAAGCTCCTGTAAATGCTGCTGCTGATAGGCGAATGTCAGGATTCACCTGAGCATTTCCCTCTCCCAGGGACGGCAACAAGCCATTTTATTTTCAGAAACCAGCTCATGGGGTTTGGCGTTGACCTCGCCGACCCCCTCCTGTGTTTGTGCTGCAACTTAAAATGAACGCAGGAATTCATAAAGTTGAAAAAAAATTCAGGGTGTTGGTTCAGGCCCGCTCGCTTATCTGTTGTAGCGTGTTTTTAAAACCTAATCTGTGACTCACTGTTTTTCTTTTTTTTTGCATCCAGATGGAGCTCTTGTAAAGAAACATTTTGGTGTTCTTTCTTTTACATCTCTATTTTTGATACGTGACCCACTGAGGGTATTTGTGTAGCTGTCGCAGGAAGGATGAGGAAGCAGCTTGAGCAGTTCTGAAGATGTTCATCTGAAGCTGAGTTCTTTGCTCCTGCTCTCATTCTTCCTCGCTCGTTTGACCCAAACACCACCAACATTTTGAGTTGCAAACAAATTCGATGATTGTCTTTAAACAAAAGAGCCTGAATGTTAAATTTCAACAAAGATAGTTTTGTATATAAAAAGGTACTTTTGATTTTTAATTTTGACATTGTAATACAAGACTGTACATATTTTGTATATAAAATATTGATTTAAATATCTATATTAAAGTTATAATAGAGCTTTTTTTGTCCTCTGGAATCTTTTTGACCGACTGTTGGGCTTCAACGTGTTGCAGCCAGCCGTCCTGACAACTCCTCAGCACACTCTTACATAACACTTGCATAACCCATAAAGCTGCACAGCCTCTGTAAATCAATAGGGCGTCTTAGATTACAGCCCGAGACCTGATTCTAAAAGCTTTCGGAGGAAACGATATTACAAATTAGTTTTACTTCTTTAACAAGTTGCAGTGGTGCACAAACAATCTTTTTTCTTTTTTTTTATACATTTTTTAAAAGAAAAGTGGCAATAAAGTAGAGTCAGAGACAGATTAAACTGTCTCCTCAGTCAGTCGAATACTTTAGAGAAATAAACACCTCAGCAGATGGGATATTGTGACATTTAATGATGGACTTTTTTTGTGGTTGATAGGTGTTGGTAAAGTAATAGTGGGAGCTATACTGCATCATAACATCCTTCCCACCATCTCTGTAGGATGTGTTTTTATTTTCAAATCACAACAATTTTTTTTTGGTTGTTTTTTTTTTGTGTGTGTGTCACTTGGGCGCCAGAGCATTGAAATGACTCAGCTGCCTGCAGAAAGTTTCTTAGCAGTGGTTCCCACAAACCAAAAGATGCAACACTACTGCCACCATGTGGAAGTTGGGTTTCCCACTGAATTCCATTTTCCACAGTTTTATTCTTTAGGTCTGCTGTGAATCCTAAACGGTTTGGAAAAAGCTTTTTATAATTTTCCAGGTATTAATAAAGATGGAAAACTCCAAAAAGCTATTTTATTTTCTAAAGTCTAATTTCACATAACTACTTGGTTGAGATGCTTTCATTTACTAAGATGTTGCTTGATTTAAACATTTTAAATGTCAGTATTTTGCTTTTTTTTTTTATTTACTGACAATGCGGGACTACTAACAACAATCCAATCAAACAAGTTTAGTGTTTATTTGTTCCCATATGATCAAAAAGGAAAATGAATTCAGCACTGTTGAGTTAAAGTGTTACATTAACAAATCTGTGAGAAACCCAGGGCTCATGTTGCGTAATAAAGCATAAAAACTTGCTTGAAAAAACCTTTCAGTTATTCATAGCAGCTAATGTAGAGATAAAACATAGAACACCCTGAGTAGCTACACATTTTGTACGTTTCAAATATATTTAGTTCCTTTTTACGGCGTCTGTCTTTTAATAATTTTGGTTCTCGTTGTCCAACAGCTTCAGCTATTTTCAAATTAAATCTCACTGAGCAAATTGTAAACAGAATGAGATTGATAAAAATAAGTTGCTGACTTTCTTTCGGCCTTTTAAAAATTATGGTAAACATGTTATCTTTTATTTTTTTGATAGTTATCTAAAAAATGTTTCTTTCATTTTAGGTACTTTTTAAATTTTAAGTAAGTTTCTATATTCAAAGACAAATAGTATTAAGGTCAAAAAGACCAAAGCTAAAGGGACGATGCTTCTAGCGAAGACTGTGTGACAATTATCGGCAGAGAACAAGATTGAAATGAAATCCAATTTCTTAGGTTTAATCTTTTTAAACAAGACAATAAGACTTAGATTGCCAGACGTAGCATTTCTCTACACCAGTGAATTCAGGTCTTAAACAAATATCTTACAGTAGGTTATCATCTGAATTCAAACATATTTCTCTCAGACCTGCAAAGATTTATTTAACAAGTTGCACAGCCGTGTGGTAAGACACTGAAATAAATGTTTATTCCCAGTTAATGTATGTATCTTCCTACTGCCTACTGCCATGCTACAAGAACCAGGTATCTGCAAATAGAGCGGAGGGCCTTAAAATGCTGCTATTATTCCCTGCAGTTTATATTTTTTTGCCCTGTTAGGCTGGTCACATCAGATCCAAACAAAAAACATGGATGTTATGAAGTGTAAAAAAAAAATATATATATATATATAGTGAGACAGAGTATATTAATACTTTTGGTATATGAAGAAAAATCAAATCTATGTTTCTTCTGCCCCCAAGTGGTCAATTGTCAATGAAAACCTATTTCTGCTTAAATTTGCGGCTTTTTCTGGGCGCTTTGTACTTTACAGACCTTTCTTAATTTTTCTTTTTCCATGTTGTCTGAAGAGTATATTAAAACAAATCTGACCCTCTGACTGATGTTGCTAAATCATATACAGTTAAATATGTGAACTGACTGCTGCAAGGCCTGACAAAGCAATGCATTAATAATAGTGTGTTACAGCGACCAGTGGCAACTTTATTAGGTACACATTGCAAGAACCAGGTTGAACCCCTTTTGCCTTCAGAAAGCCTTATTCATTCCCATTCCAACACACCCCTAAAGTTTTTTATTGAATTTTTATCGGGTTAGTGTGGAGTATCTGAGTGCAGTGAACTCAAGATTATCTGCACTTTATGACATGGTGCGTTATCATGCTGGAAGCATGCATCAGAGGATGGGTGCACTATAGTCATAATGGGATGGACATGGTGAGCAACAATAGTAGCCAGTGGCATGATACAATGCCCAATTGGTACTAAGTGGCCCAAAGTGTGCCAAGATAATACCGACCCTACCATTACACCACTACCACCAGCCCATGAACCGTTGATACAAGGCAGAATGGATCCATACTTTCATGTTGACACCATATACTGACCCTACCTTTCAAATGTTGCAGCAGAAGTTGAGACTTATCAGATCAAGACAAATTTTTCCAATCTTCTATTGCCCAATTTTTGAGTTGTAGCCCATCCACCTCAATTTTTTTATGTATTGTGCTTTCAGATCTGCTCTTTTGCATACCTAGGTTGTAACAAGTGATTATTAGAATTACTGTTACCTATTTCACCAGCTTAAATCAGTCTGGTCATTCTCTGCTGACGTCTATCTAACTGCATGGTTCCTTTCTGGGATAATTTTATTCCTGAAGTAGGCTTCTTAGCTACTAAACTAACTAATGAAAACTAATGAAATGCATTTATGTGTATGATGTCAACTAGAAGCAGCATGCTGAAGCAAAATAAACATTGCTGTGCCGGTGGACATACCGACTCCTCTATTCAGTCTGTTTTAGCTGGAACACCCTGCATTTTTCTGTCCTGTCACATTGGCTGCATAGAGGCTCCCACTAAACATAGCGTGACCAGATGTCCCAATTTTTGTGGGATGTGCCACATTTTTTACTTCTGTCCCAGTGTCCCCCAATGACTCACATTTATTTATATACAAAATACAATACATTTATATAAACATTATTCAACAAGTGCTTTTCTAAAGTGTAAAAAAAACAGGTCTGTAGACATTGCCAGAGCTGTGGCAATCAAAATACAAATGCTGTGCCCCACATCAACACCGACCTATGCACCTAAGATATAAAAAAAAAGAGCTAAATTATTATTGATACACACAGAGTGTAATAAAAACAAACTAAACTAACCTCTCATTTAATGAATGACCAGCGAGTGTTTGGATATCCTGGAACATGGCCAGTACTGAGCTGTCAGCAGAGGAAAACTGTCTGCTAATCCATATAGAACACCACATTTGGCAGGTAAGAGCACAGGACTGGTCAATAACAGCTAATCAACTGTAACTGTAAGGTCAACTACCTATAAAGTGCAATGTGGAATCCACCAATCCTTGCTTGTGTGAATGTTCTGGATCCACATTTCAAAACATTGGCCTTCAGGACACAACCCATGTAATCAGAGTTGACACCACACCTTTTCCACTTACACCACAGGTAATCTTTATTTACATAAACTACTGAAACACTATTTTGTTATTCTTGCTTCTCTCTTAATATGATCCTCTCTTATCAGGCAGAACCACAGGAAGTACAGGGCCCAGGAGAACAGTGAGCTACACCACAGCAGAATTGGTTTTGTACAATTTTAATCTTAAGACATCTTTAGAACTATTTTAAGGATAATTATTATCTATTAATATTAATTTTGTTGTAGGCGCAATGCGGAAAACACAGTGTGACAACAGACGCTGTGATGGAAATACAAAGATATATATCGTAGCCTTACCACTCTATCGAAGACCCACTCGAGTATTGAGCTAAATTTGCTGCTGTATATGCTCATTTACATAAAATTGCAAAAAACATTATTTGTCTTGGCCTGGGGGTGTGGCAGCTCTATCAAGTTTTCTCAGTGCTGTAATCCCATTTTTTCAGTCGTTTGTCAATAAAATGGTAAATGAATTAAATTTGATATAAGTTCTTAAGCAAACTTGTCAGCTGACACAAACTATTCTTTGTTTTTGCCGCATCCCTGGTGGAGTGGTTTGAGCAAAGACGGGCTGTTCCATGCACAAGAGGGAACAGGGAAAGGAAAGGACTTTGTACTCTCTGTGATTTTTTTTTTCTTCGGACTAACAGTTTGCCAGATTACTAAAACTCTTTCCCCAAAATGAAACATGGTGTGCTTTCAGGGGCGAATCTAGAGGGGGGAGCATAGCCCCCCTTAGCTAATCATATGCCACCCCTGTGGCCATCCTTACTGGGTCATTTGTTATTCTCATTGGCAAGTAATAAACCACCTCTGGAATGAGGAGTCCTCCTCTAAACCAGAGGGTGGCAGTAGTGACACCATCATGTAGCTCTAAAGAGACATTGTGTGAGTTTTTACTGAAAAATATCTTTAAAATAGGCTTTTTATTTAACCCTTTATGATTAAAACATCATTTGATGAGCAGACTGACACCTCAGTAGTGTAACATCGATGCATTTATAAGCCTGTAACCAATTATTTAAAATATACTTTGGGTCAGAAGTTCCCGCGCTCTTTAGCATATGTGGCATCCAGTGCATAGATGTTATATTCGTCCGACCTACCAAAAAATCAAAACCTTATGTTCAAGATGCCTTTTGTGGATACTCAGACGTGACCTACATTCAGTTCAACTCAGGCACCGATGGCAAATCCGGGTAAGCTGAAAAAAGTAAAAAGAAAAAACTTCGGTACAAGCTTCAGTACAAGTGAGCTACGAAAAGGAGCAGAACAGTTCTG